CATATACTTCGTAAGTGTGATTCAGAAAAGACTTCAGGACAGCAGCAGCAGAGAACCTGACTCTCCTGTGTGTGTGTGTGTGTGTGTGTGTGTGCAGATGTTTGAGGCGCTGCTCTTCGCCATCCTGATGTACCTGTACAAGTGCAGGAACGTGAAGCACATCATCATCATGATGATCCTGGTTGCACTGCTGGGTGAGAACACTCATCTACACTCCATAGTCAACACTGTACTCCACACTCCATATCAGTACTCAATAGTCAACACAATAACCAGCACTCAACTCCACACATTTGATAATCAGCACTTGATAGTCAACACTCGATAATCAACACTCGATAGTCAGCACTCGATAATCAACACTCGATAGTCAGCACTCAATAATCAACACTCAATTGTTAGCACTTGATAATCAGCACTTGATAGTCAACATGGAATTGTCAAGACTTGATAATTACCACTCGATAGTCAGCACTCAAAAGTCAACACTGGATTGTCAATACTTGATAGTCAGCTCAACAGTCAGCACCCGATAATCAATACTAGTTTGTCAAAACTTGATAGTCAGCACTCAATAGTCAGCACTTGATAGTCAACACTCGATTATCAACACTTGATAATCAACACTCGATAGTCAGCACTTGATAGTCAACACTCGATTATCAACACTTGATAATCAACACTCGATAGTCAACACTTGATAATCAACACTTGATAGTCAGCACTCTATAATCAACACTTGATTGTCAACACTTGATATTCATGACTCGATAGTTAACACTCGGTAGTCAACACTCGATTGTCAACACTCGATTGTTAACACTTGATAATCAGCACTCAACAGTCAACAGTGGATCCTCAACAGTGTGTAGCTCTGCTATTGATGGATGTTTGTGTTGTGTAGCCTCGGTGACGGTGATCTCGGTGTATTGTGCTGAGTGTGTTGTTGTTGATTGTGTTGTTGTTGATTGTGTTGCTGTTGTTGTTTGTGTTGTCTGTGTTGTGTAGCCTCGGTGACGGTGATCTCGGTGAAGGCTGTGTCTGGAATGATCACGGAGACCCTGCGCGGGAGTCACCTGCAGCTCACCTACCCTATATTCTACATCATGTTCATCATCATGATCACTTCCTGCGCATTCCAGATCAAGTGTGTTTGTCTCTGTCTCTCTCTCACACACACACACACACACACACACACACATTTATATACCTGTGACTATACGGTTTCTCTGGTGTGTGTGTGTGTGTGTGTGTGTGTGTGTGTGTAGGTTTCTGAATGAGGCCATGAAGCTCTTCGACGCCACAGAGATCGTCCCCATCAACTACGTGTTCTTCACCGCCAGCGCTGTCGTGGCCGGTCAGACCAACACACACACACAGACAACAACACAATAAACACACACACACTGAATACACACAATAATGTCAGACGTGTGTGTGTGTGTGTTCAGGCATTCTGTTCTATGAGGAGTTTTACGGCATCTCTCTGGTTCACGTCCTCATGTTCGGTGTGGGGTGAGCAGCTCTCCTCTGATTCAGCATCTGCATTAACACGAGACTTACTGCTGCCGCATGCGTGTGTAACATGGTTGTGTGTGTCATATATATATATGTATATATATATATGTGTGTGTGTGTGTGCATGGGACCACAACCGTTTGTTGTAGTTTTTTAGGACAACAGCAGAAGAACTATCTAAAGCCGCTGTTTCAAATAGTGGAGATGTGTTTAATAAACCAGTGAAGACAGCAGCAGGTGATGATTCAGTTCATTATGTAGTCTGACGTGTTCCCTGCTCCATAACACTATCAATGTTTCTTGAAATAAGATATGCTGTGTTCAAAGCGGGAACAGGTTCAGTTTTATACTCAGACATTTAAAAAGAAGATATTTAGAGCGGTGAGCACAATACTGTGACACGGTGACATTTCTAACTGAGGTTATCACACCGTCAGAATCTCACACAGACCCATACCTAGAGCTGAACATCACTGAACAGCTGTAGTACACTCAGCACCATCACACCTGACTGAGTTCTGCATGGAGGAACGGCCCACAGTGCCTTCAGCAGGAGTTCAGGCGCTCATCCTGGACTATAGGAGGCTTCTACAGGCGGATGGATATTCCAGCTAAAGGGTGCTGCACACAAGACTGACGACATCATTCTGCTGCGGTGCTCACTTATACACTCCTGTCAGTGTTCAGACTGAAATCACAGCTGCTGGTTTAATAAGTCAGAACTGAAGTGGTGTTAGCTGTACCCAGACCAGACCGCCCATCTGAAAGACCAACAGGATACAGGGTGCACAAACTTTTGCATAAGACTGTTCATAATCTGTGTGTGTGTGTGTGTGTGTGTGTGTGTGCGCGTGCGTCAGGTGTCTGCTGGCGTTCACTGGAGTGTTCCTGATTGCTCGAGCTCGACCCAGAATAAAGATGGACAGTGTGTTCATCTCCATGGAGCAGATGCCAGGTAAGTGTGTGTGTGTGTGTGTGTGTGTGTGTATAGTAAGTGTGTGTTAGGCATGGGAACTGTTTTTAATGTATTGCGTGGTTTGGAAAGTCAAGGTTAGGTTTAAAACAGAGGAAATATCCTGCTACTGTTCCTGACGCACGTGTGCTGTCTTCATCAGTGTTTCAGGACAGCAGCATCTCCAGCAGACAAATATCCACACATGCTGATTAAAACTGTAAATAAATCTGTGTCTGAAACTAATGAGGGCAGCAGGAGTCCAGGATTCAGCTAGCCTGACTGGTTTACTGCTCTAAAATGTTTCCTAAATTAATTATTTTGTGTTTAAAGAGGAAAAGAGAGTGTGTGTGTGTGTGTGTGTGTGTGTGTGTTATACTCGGACACTTAAAAAGAAGATATTGTAGAGCAGTGAGCACAACACTTCATCATTTACTCCAAGCTCATCATATCATCAGAATCATACACCGGCCCATGCCTA